AGTTTTATAAATGCGTCACAACAATGGATGCTTGTAAATGTATTGATAAAATTATTCTATCCCAAGTAGATGATGTTGTTTGGCAGAACTTTGTCAGGTCTTTGCCATTATTTTTGCACTGTTTGTCAAACAATGCTCACAATGTAGTCTGCAGTCTGAAACTTTCACATTTAAGCGATTTCTTCTCAAATAAATGGATATATATTGACATTGATTTACGACATTGTTGATTAACTGGTTTTATATCACTATTGTGTGATAAGAAACTTGAGACACATTTCTTGCTGTTTTATTTCTTTTTTTTTCATTTCATGTTATTGTTTTTCTTGTGTTTATTTTTCCAGACCTTTGACGTGGATTTTACGTTTTGAACTTTCTGTCGGCTAGTAAAAACAGAAATAATCCTTACACCACAGCTGTCGATTGTCCTTCTATGATTAATCATAAAACGTTTAACTTGCATTCTTAAGAACTATGTTGTGAGAATGAGAAAGAAAAGGGGCTGTATTATAACTGAACTCCCCTATGTAAGTGCAATAATAGTTTAAGCTGCCTGTAAAGCATACCGTACGCTTTGAGAAAATGGCTATAAAAATAGGACGTGAACTGTAGATTTTGAAAAATGCATAAATACATATTGATTGACAACAAATACCTTAGCATAACATGTACATATGTTTAAATTAACTATAAAAACACCAGAAATATATCGCAAAACGCGCATGTATAAGATATTTGTTCGGGGTTTGTTAACAACTTACTGTTGCCTGGTATTCAAATTATGATTGAAATAAAAAGACGAAATTAGTTCGGATGAATACTAGTATATGATGAAATTTGACTTTAGGATCGGTTATAGAATGTTGATTATTATGGAACTGTGAAGGAAAGTGACGCAGTTACATAATGTCTATACAATAACAAGGTCAAAACGATACATATACAATTATCAAAATAATAAGGATATCAACCACATAGCAAGCATCATGTCAGAATGTTTGTTGTACATGTATAAAAATTATGTATAATATCCTACCGTTTACCATTTTGTTATTTTCATATTTACATTTCTAAAATGCTTTAACGATTTTACAATAAATTCAAGGTTGTTCTTTTACAAGGAGCTGGATCATCCAAGACCTGTTTTCATAACAAACATTCAATATCACGAATTATATGGAGCTCATATATTCACATAAAAAAGTCATTAAACTGTCATGGCAACAGATGTTATCTTTATAATAATCTTATTATGCTTTCATAGTTTTCACATAATAGCACCGAAGCTCATTCTTGGGGCAATGAAACGTGAATTGCTCTTGATACAAAAGAGACGCTTATTCTGATAGTTTTATATCAAATCTTTCAATCTGTAGAGTGAGTGAAAAACAATTTTAAGAGAAAGTTGCAAAAATAAAATGCTACTGTATAAACATGTCAAATCCAAATTCAAAAAATAAAAAGATAGTGTAAAATGTTTTGTTTTGTTAGCAATATATTATATTAAAATGGCCATTAAAAGACTGACCTTCAGCAAGCCGTTATGCAAATGGTCAATGCAAAGTTTAATATAATTATGTAAAAAAGTCGATATATGTAGAATTTTGGTAAAAGCAAGATCTATTTCCAGGCAGACATTGTAATAGTGACATCCCTTTGTTATTATCTGTAATTTGTTTTTTTTCTCTTCAATTAATATTGTTAAAAAAGATTAAATGGATTATTCATTAATCATAAACCTAAGTTTGTTAGCAATTGCAATGCACAAAATGTCAAAGTATGGCTCAGGAAACATTTGATCCAACGAATGAAGATAAGCATTATTTAACCTAGATTTATCTTTAGAATTGATTGGGATTGATCTTGGAAGAAATTGTCACCTTTGTGATGATTAATGACACTTTTAAAACCACCTATGACACGGAGACATTTGCGAAACAGTTTATATATGGGTTCTCTGCATCTCGTGATAACATTTGAAAATCAGTAAACGCATCAAAATGCATTCCTTCAGTTTAGAATTTTAGCGCTGAACCATATTTTCAGTTCTGAGTTTAGGCTTATTAAACTCCTAAATGTTTTTTTTGGTGTTTCTTGACAGTTTTCTGTCCTCGAAAGTAGTATACACATTTTTGGTCCACCGACCATACAGGACAAATATTTAAGCTCTAAGCCTTTGGATTTTAGAGTAGAAGACTGTTTTAAAATTGCACTATTGATATCTATTTGTAAGATTGTGTGACCCAAATATGCATCGTACTGGAACTATTTACACAACATTGGTAAAAACTCTCGCAGGAAACATCCTTAACCAAAGTTGGCCAAGCCTGTAAGTACTTCCTTATAATTAATTAAAAATTGATGTCTAGACCTTATTAAGAGATAAATACACGGCAGAGTAGGACCGGAAGGTGATAATCGGCCCGCAAAATGAATAATGGCCCCGAGGGCTTAAGCCCGAGGGCATTATTCATTTAAGGGCCGATTTTCACTTTATGGCACAACTAAGACGTGTATTAATGTCTTTAATACACTTGGTAGATCTAATAGTAGCATTTTTCTAAAAGACATTCTTTGAAATTTCTTTCGTTGAAATTCCTGCCTGCATTTCTATTACAGTACTTCTACAGAGTTGTTTACTTTTTGTATTTTCAAAGTACACTACTGTAGAATCTAGAAGCAAGTTTTATTTTCATTTTGTTTTCGGAATGAACTTGTCGAATTATTTCTTTAAATATCAATAGTAATTTAACTGTGTGCGTACGAAATACGCTTAAGGTCTTATAATAAAATCAAGCGATTTGTGCTTAAAAGCTACTTTGAAAATTCACTTTAACAGTTAACTGTTTGATGACGCGAAATGTGACGTTATTGTTTCAGATTGTGCACGTGCACATGTTCAGTTGAAATCATAGGCGATTTTGTTACTATATATAGTAACAAGTGTATTTAATGTATTTTACGCATTTCACGGTCATGAGGCTATGAATTCGAGTCTTCCACAGATTAAGTTCTTTCTTTATTTTCTTGTCTTTTGTTCTTGTTGCATATATCATGCCTTTTTCTAACATTATGTTTTAAACTTTTTGATTCAGAAACATATTCAGGATTTTAATCTATTAATAATCAAGATAAACGTAAAATAAGAGTAGGCTTGCAAATCTGATTTGAGATCATATTTGTCACTTTTCATATTATGATAATGAAAATACAACATATTTATGACAACATTCATGAGTAAATAATTTTAATGGTTTTATTTAGATATCTGGGCATATACAGCATTGACTTGGCGGTGCTCTAGTTTCAGCCCTGTTATAGCATAAACGCACTTTACAATAATAGATTTCAATCTCCCTGCAATCTCCAATCTCAATTATATAAATGATTAAAAATGTAATGTTTATCATTATCGGTCAAATCTGTCAGAGGTTTTCATTTATTGTATTGTTTAATGTATTCCCGAGGTGAGGGGATATATGATCATTACTTGTCAGAAGCAGAGTTAATGATGATAATAATGATTATATAATTATGTGAAAAATGTCCGTATGATGTCGTATTGTTCATTTAAAAAAATGTTTTGATAACAAATTCCTTTTAGATAATAAATTAAATAATAATGTCTTCACTTCACAAATAATTTAAGAATAGAATCATTGGCAAACAAAATTTCTTCAAATCTGTATAATTCATTATCTTTTTATTTCTTCTTTGTTAACTGAAATGTTGCTTATAATTTAAAAAATTCGAAACAAAGTAATTATAAGATTAACAGACCATCAATTAAATAATATATTAGGATACACATTTGGCTCTTTGCTTTAGGTAAAATGTAACTTGCTTTAAATACACGCGTTGTTTTAAATAAAACAATTAATAAGTTAATAACTAGTATGTTAAACAAGAATTCATATTGCCTTAATGCGCCAGACTTGAGAATGTTAGTTAAAAGTAGAAATGCTCAAATAATAGCAGTTTCCAAAAAAATACAACATTTTCTATAAATGCGTACGAAATATTTTCCTGCATTAAGATGGCTGTTAGTTATTAAGTTCATCGTTATCCTTATTTTGAAGTTTTAGTTTTATGTGATCTGCTCTTACTTTTATATTGTTAGTTACTCCATATGCCATAGTCTTTATTTTTAATTTGGTCGATCTATGATAATAAAATATATAAACAACATATTTTCTTTGTTTTACACCAATTTTTAAAATGCCGCTTTTTTAAATAATAGATGTTTAGAATAAACAAAATATTATAAACATATTAGGTATACGTTTGTTGAATATGCACAGTATATGTTTATTGTGTATTTTAGGCTGATATATGCTACGTCATGGGTTTATGAACGACATAAATATATATGTGCTCTAACTACATTTATTATCTAAACTATAGTATATGATACATGTGTTAACATAGCAGTGTCTGTGATGGTAGTATTTTAAGATTTAGGGAACTCTCTATTATAAAGGGGCTGTACGCACCTAGAGTCTCATGTTACAGTTTACTCATCATGCTACATCTTCCATCTTTTACAATTTTTTTTATATTTAAACATAATTTTATCATAAGAATAACCGCATAGATTATTTGAATAACGCTTTAATAAATTCAAGGAAGAAAAACTTTATATTAGATGATGATTACAGTAACATGTAGTTAATAAATGCTCATTATCATTAGTCGTTTACAACATGTACTAATTATGATTAATACTGTAAATTTCTTCATTAGAAACAATCACTGTCTATTTACAAGTCTGTTACAGCACGTGGCTTCACCTTTCTGCCTGCGCGAGTGAAATAATTAGCATTATCCGGAGGATTCAAAACCACAGGCTGTTTATTGCTATCGGTACGCTCTGACCCTACGTCAATCATTTTGTCATTAACTGACATTTCAAGGCCAGAATTCAAAGCACCATGTGTCAATAAAGGTGATTCTTTAGATTTCAACAAATATTTACGATTTCTGCGATATTGTTGTCCGTTTTATGTTTCAACAATATAGGACCTATCGCTATGAAATTTTATTACAACAGTGGGACTCCAGGACTTGTCTAGACGTTGAATTCTAGCGGAATCTCCAACATTTAAGGGAGACAGAGGTTTAGCATTTTTATCATAGTAATGCTTAGATTTGACCTTGGATTCTGTGATTTTTTGTTTGACTACATCAGGGTGCGGTACCCGTGGAATAAGGTTTTCCCTTACAGTGGGAAGGATAGAACGAAGTTGTCGTGATTGGACTAACTGCGCTAGACTGAAATTTCCTATATCAGCGAGAGGAGTAGAACGATATTCTAAAAATCCTATTTTTGGATCAGAATTATCATCTTTTGCCTTTTTAAGTATACGTTTGGCAACTTTAACCATTGCCTCAGCCAAACCATTTGTTTGGTTATGATATGGACTACATTTTACATGTACAAAATCCCATGACTTTGAAAACTCCTTAAATTCTTGACTAGAAAAACATGGACCCCATCAGTGACTATTTTCTCACATATGCCCCAATGTGACATGATATCTTTCATGTGGGAAATAACAGTTGAACTTTTTATGTTCGAAAGTTCATGAACTATGGGATACCTAGAATCTGAGAACAAGTCACACCCTGCAATTTGAAACGGATAGTCTGGGATTTCAGAGCTGATTAGTGGCTCCTTCTGTTGCGATGACCTGTATTCCAGACAAATCTGACATTGATTTACCATTTCAATTATATCATTTGAAATTCCCGGCCAAAACATTATTGACCTTGCTCTACTGAGACATTTTTGCGCACCCAGATGACTGGAATGCAGCATCTTTAACATTTCAGATCTAAGTGACCTGGGCATAACGATTTTTTTCTCCTTTCATTATTAAACCATTAACCTCAGATAACTCATCCCTATAGTTCCAAAAGGCAGCAATTAACTGATGACAAGCCTTTTTGTACTTAGGCCAACCAAACTTTACTGTTTCTTGTAATGTACATAATTGTTCACATTTCCTACTAACTGATATATACAATTCAAAATTATTAATTCAAAATTGTTACATATGATAACGTGGAAGTTTATGTAGTACCGAGATACACATAATTTGATGACACTGCGACTGCACTAGCCTTTTCATTCTTTTTTTCTGACATTCTTTGCAAAATTTATTTTTTTATTATTTCCACTTAGGTGGCATTTTAATTATATCTTCCAAAATTCTGAATTGTCCTTCAGTCTTCGAGGTATTTATAACCATTTGTTGGAGTTTTTCAGAGATTGGTACCAACTTTTGCAGACAGTCATACCCTGAATTGTGTACATGTTTATAATTGAAGTTATTCATCGGAATGCAGGTACCTGACAGGACTTTTAAAAGAACATTTTTACGGAACATGTCTAAATACTATTGTTGTTGATGGTTTTCACACATTTTTATTCCTGTCAGTATGATATTAATCGAAAAAGTCGTGAAAATTTCCTTGAGAAAAATATTTGACGTCACCAAAATCATTACGTTTTACTCACCCTTTCTTTTATATTCAAATAGTAATAGCAAAATATCTTACGCGTTGACCCTATATTTTTATTGCATAAATATTTTCTTTCATGACTTCACTACATGTTTAAAAAATAATAGCAAAATTCACCGTGTTGATTTTCTGTTATTTCACAATCTTTATTGCGATATCGCGCGATATTTGCATCATATATGGACGTCAGAACGTGAGGGAAAATAACGTAGAATCGCAGAGTATTAAGCAAATGTTCAAGAAAGACATCATTACAAAGACATACATTTACTGAACATCATAAAATTAGAATGAAGGAAATCGGATGAAAATTAATAAGAACAGACCGGTTTATTGATAAAAAAGACGCAATTTCACCGTCACCGATAGAGGGCGCTTTGACGCTTTGACGCTTCTGCAAAAGTAAAGCTTACATATCTACATGTCTGTATACCAAAAATCATCAAGATCTGAGATGTTGTCAAATTTCGGTAGCTACCTTAACATCAGGAAATAAATCTTGTGAAGAAATAATAGAGTAAACATTGTGCAATATCTGCAGAGCGGTCGTCAGATAAATTGCTTCTTTACAAAACGAGTAGCAACCAAAATCTCAATGTGATCTACTTATTTCTTACATGTAGATCTGATTACCAGCGTTTATGTTTCGCTTTCATCGTGAGTCCGATTTACCGAGAAAGCTATTTTTAGCTTTGCAATCAAACCGTCCTTTACAGAAAGGCATATAATTTAGACGAAGCGTCAAAATATTGTTGTCCGTGAAAGTAAAACAAATTGTTAAATTGAATTAATTAAAACAAATAAACTGGAAAAATGGATTCATTTTTAATGAGCAAGATTGTTTTACAAGTTAACCTGCCGGCTAACGGGACAACGCAATGTGTGTTCTTGAAATCGTAAAAAAATGTACTGGTTATCCATTGGTTAAAATAAGAAACTGCATTGCTTTCAAAATTGTGCAAGCTTGCTAATAATTGGCTGTTTGATCACGCGAATGCGACAGTCTATTGATGATCGTCAGATCCTAAGGATCCAAAGTTGTAGCGTTATAAAGGAGCTGAATTTAATCAGATTTCCAAATTCTTTGCCTACCATTTGGGTTGAGATCGAACAACGGCTATGACAAACAATCTGTCTTTTATACATGTCTGACATTCGAGGTCGAACAACGGTTATGATAGATCATAAATAACAAACATTCAGTTTAAAATAAAACACATGGACAACATTAAGATTTCATTATGTTTGCATTGTCAAATACATATTTTCTCTTTGAAATATTAATGACGAGGTTTCATTAGAAATGAGTTAGTATGTTTATGTTAACAGATGAAATAGATTGTTAATTAACATACCCAGGTTATTGCCATCCACTATGAACAGAATATGTTCTCTTACTATTAGATAAAGTTTCCCTCATTAACAAAACATAACACAACCTTGTTATAAAAACATTTGTAATTTATCAATATGCATCTGTTGCCAAGACAATTAAGCGACTGCTTAAATTCAGATAAACCTTGTGAAATTCTTTGTGAAATAAGAATATATTTTGGATTTTAATAGAAATTACCCTCTGAAACATATGTAAAAGATGAAAACTTACATTCTGAACAACTCGAAATATATTTCTTAAATTCATTAACATTTCGTTAATATATTGAGCAAACAATTGTAGATATTGGATGCTTTTAAACGTTTCTTTGGAAGTATATATACAGTTTTTTTTATTTAACCCTAAAATATGAAAATACGAAAAAAATGTTCTGCAATGCTGAGGTAGTTGCACAATAACAAAACAAAAACAAAGAAATATAAACAAATAGTAGCGTTTTCAATTTTTTACACCAAATCAATGTGACCATAAATTGTGTTTGGTTTGTAGTATAGAGTATGGAACGCAGAATTTTATCTTAAAACATTAAAAAAAACAAAAACATTTAATTAATAAAAGCGTTTCTAATGTGTCGTCTTACAATTCTTTAACGAGGTTTCTTTGTAAAATCTTTTAATTATAAGTGAAATTCTTTTTGATTTATCAATATATTTGCACTATTTGCTAGAACTAAATTGTATTGTAGGTATTAATCTCGGATGAGCAGTAAGCATATAATTTAGTTTTGGGATTCAAAATCAGTTGCACGGATTGAATTCTTTCAATATGCTTAAACCATTATTATTGCTATACATAAAAATTAAAAAAGATCATTCATGAAGAGTGACAGTCAAAGGAACGTAGCCTGCAAAATATGTCAAATCAAAAAACGTCCAGTATAACTAAAAATTGATATCTATAAAGCACATAATTTCTTTCCATGGTGCTTGCTTTAAAATTCCCGTTACACGTTTTTGTCCATTTTATTCATTTCATTGTGTTTTTTACTCATGTCTGAATTAAATACTAAAAGACACTGCATAATTTTGCATTTTCTAAAAGTTATGGCATTCGTTTATATGTGATTGTCAGAAACAGAAATAATCCAGAAACCCCAAAGATTGCATCACACTATCTTATGAATGTAAACTGTTTTCATGTTCCTCCATTTACCGTTTTTATTTTTTTGTTATTACATTGTTAAAATGCATCCTAATAAGATTTATAAATGGAAATAATACACTATGATCTTTATAGCGCATCATATCAACGTTAAGTGTTATGAAAAAATTCAGTTCAGTGCATACAAGTTCTACTTAAAGTACAAACACTGTTCGATGTATCTCAAATTATAGGTTACTCATATATTCACATTAAATAATCGTGAAACTGTCATAGTAACAGATGAAACATTCTCTATTTCACCAGTAATTATACTTTATGATAATTTTATTATATAAATGATAGCTTGATCTTTACTTAATATCGGCGAAACATTTTAATTTTAATCGCAACAAAACTTGAATCTTAATTGCTGAAAATTTCTGGTACTTCTTGAACACGTTTAATACAAAATATCTTAAAGGTTCAGTGGCTACATTAAATTACAGTAAACACAACCCTTCAAAAACATAAGTTGAAGAAGGTGAAACAGTTTATCAATTTCAATTATGCAACAGATCTTGTAACACACATGCATGTCGTATATGTATATAGGAAACAAGGATATGCATGCCTTTTTACAAAACTAGTGTTTCTAACACCGTAAGTTTTTAAACATTTGTAATAGATTAATACGTAGTATCAAATTTAAGTCCGATTAGGTTAAACATATAAACATTAATTAGAGCGAAATTTACATTTTCCTACAGATGGAATGTGTGTCTTGCTAATTAGATGTAAAATGTTAACTCTATATCTTAATCAATATGTCATTTGAAGGTCTTTATAAATGATTAAAACATATACCCTCAAATAAGTGAGAAAAGTAAACTCTAACTAAATGCATTGATATGTTTTTTCTCTTTTGTGATGTAAACCTTTTACTGTTTATAACAAGTCGTATATAACAGTTACAAATAAACATATAGACAAAGTTAGAACTGTATAATATGATGTATAAAAGTTTGCATGATCTTAGAATGTGAAAACATTTTCTAGCGAGATAAAATTGCGAAACAATAAGGCCCAAATTATTATATTTATTCGTTTATTTCAATCTCTTTATCACATTTACAAATACAATACATAAAAAAACATATACATTCAAAATACATGTAATACCAATCAACTGAGATTTATAAGAGACATTTGTACCTATTATCACATATAATTTATTTACATATAAGAACTAGTATACTCTTGTTTATCTTATTTATTTTTAAAATCCTATAAAAGAGAAGTAAAAGAAAAGAGAATTTACTCTACACTACAACATGGTTGTAAAATAATGATAATATGTTTGATTTAATGAAACATATTTAGAAATTAGATAAACAAGTGTATTCTAGCAGTTGAGTAAAAACAGTTTAACCCAGGATAAAACCAAAATTGATTTATAGGATTAAAAAAAAAACTATTTTTACATCTCATTTACTTAAAAACAACTGTCTACGTTGTAATATCAGAAAGCAGGCTCTTGCACAACATCTGATCACATCATCATTCGTAAAGAGGAAAATAAATTTATGTTCCTCTGTCAAATTATGAAAATCATTATTTAACCTAGTTGCATGTATAAATAACTCATTTCTTATATCATCAAATAATGAACACTTGAAAAGGGTATGAAACTCATCTTCAACTAAATTGACACAAAACTGACAAAGGCGTGAATCTATAGGTAGACCCTCATACCGGCCAGTCTCGACTCTTAAAGGTGCCAATCCAGCTCTAAACTTAGCAAATGCTGCTATATGCGACCTAGACATTATAATTTTACAATATGTTTC